GAGGACACCGGCTCACTTTGTGTGGAGGATGTGTGAGGAAAAGCCACTGTGAGATCATTCGAACTGACAGTCAGGCTGAAATCAGACACTTTAATTTCTGAATGATGTTTACGTTTTATTCAAAACTCAAACAATCATTGTGCACACACACATCCTCCGCAAGGAGTCATTTTTGAATCTTCTGCCCCGTGAGCCCTGCGGCTGGTTGTTCTAGGATGGCACCTGTTTGCGGTCTCTGGGGAAAACACTGCACTGCTGGTTGCCGGGATGACGAGGGCTGTTCTCTGATGGGAGGGGCTGGCGGCAGAGCGGATCAAGAAAACACTGCTGCAGCTTTGGTGCATCTCTGCTGCTGTCTCTGGCAACGGCGCTCTCTCCAGCGGGTGGGGGTGGGGTGGGGGGGGGGGGGGGGCGAGAGGAGGAGTGTGGCTTGATCAGATGGTGCACAGTCTCCGACACCTCCTCCGACTTCTTCGATTTCTCAAGCATGGCCTTGAAATTGGCTCCAAACAGCTCATCCGTCATGATGGGACCCTCCAACGAGTCCTTCTGCAGCTTCTCCGGCAGGGAGGGGAGTGACAAAGCCAGATGGACTTCTGGAACATCGTCATCCAGACTGCGATGCGAGACAGGCAGACAGCAGAAGAGGCGCGCAGGTTGAGGATGACATTAGACGCCTTGCAGAGGGAGCTCTTCATCTCCTCAGGCAGGTCTATTCCCTCCAGCCTCTTTGAGATGTTGTATGCCAGCAGCGTAACGTTATTGTTCGCTGTGGCCACCTGGAACGCACATTGGTGAGCTCGGTTGGAGTGCGACGTCACCGTCTGGTCATGCTTCCCCGGAGGCGCAGGACTCTGGTCCAACCTGGACATCTTTACTCCGAGAGCTTCTGCCAGGCTTAGCTCCAGGCAGGCACCGAGGGAAATTCTGCTCAGTAAATCCCTCCAGTCTGGTGATGAGCGCGAATGTGGAAACTGGCGCTCTCAGTCTACCAGGTCTGGCTGCAGCCTCGTTCCAGTAGGAAGTCACTGCTGGGGAACAAGGCCAGATGGGATCAGGACGGCGAGCCAGGGTGGAGCCAAACCTTCCCGCTAGATCATCTGATCTGGGCAGGGGGAGGAGAGGGAAGGAAAGTCCCTTCGTGTCAGCTGCCTCCTGGAATATGCCGGGCAGCTCTGAGAGTAGGGCACCGACGGCTGGGAGCAGTGTGGTCGCTAATGCAAAAAGGCCTGGCGGGGTGAGCATCCGTTCAGCCCCCCTCTTTCCGACATTAGGCTTTCCAGGAGGGAGTGAGCAGTGGGGGCTGATGCTGACGTCGCCTGTCCAGGATTAACCATCCGATTCGCTTCGAGAGTCGGCATTAAAAAAGGGTCAATGGCGTTGTCCAGCGGGTAGCGACCCACTACGGAAAAAATATTCCTCGGCGCTTACCTTGAAACAAAGCTGCTCGTCTGCTTCTCCTCAGAGAGGAAGAACTCACCGGGACGGCAGGAGGTTGGCGTGGCAGAGGACCCAGGCAGCCTTAGTAAAGTTTGTGCTGGTCAAGCTAGACAACTTTCCTTCTTAGTTCTTCTGACAGTGCTATTAGCTTGCTGAAGAAAAAATGGGAGTCGATTACCCGCTCTTAACGTAATTTCTACGGACCGGGTGGAGCCCACACAACAGGTGGGCGTGGACTAAATTTTTCAGTGCGATGCTTTGCTTGATGGAATAAACCCACCAGCAACAGACTTAAAGGGCAAAGCTTATACGAAATAGAACTGTCTGAGACATCAAACCTTCAGTGATTGATCCACATCCGGTCCCCTGCAAGACTGAATGGTCAAATCATGACATCACTTAAGCCACGCCCCGACAACAGGAAGTATAAAGTTTTATGTTAAGCGATCCCTATCTAACCCCTGTTACCTGATCAGCATGATTGTGTGTCCAGTGACCAAAGACATGTTGGTGTAACTTGCTTTCCAACACTGACAGTTTTGGATGGAGCATGTGGGCGTCGAGATGTGACGAAGTAAGACGTAACGCCGTCGCCATACATTTGGCTCGAAATTCCACAGATTTGAACCGAGGTGCACCAAAATCAGTATGATCAATCATTGTCCACTCCTTGAACAGGAAGCCATGATAATTGGCCAATAACCTCCAGAGCGCCCCCTAGAATATTTTAAAACCTCAGCCCCAAGCCATTTTTTGACCGATAATTCTGAAACTCAGTGAACATATGTATCTTCTCAGGACCTATGAAAAAGTCTCTTGGAGCCCTGGTCCAAAACCAACAGGAAGTCGGCCATTTTGGGTCAAATGGTCATTTTTGGGCGTTTCTAATTGCGAATTTTAACGAACTCCTCCTAGGAATTTTGAAGGATTGCCTTGAAACTTGGTTGATATGCCCTTAAGACATTGGAGAGTAAAAGATATCTAAAGCTTGCGTTCTCATAGATGTTAAAGGGGCGTGGCTAGGCCTCAAAGTTTTGCTTCACGCCATAAATTTCCAAACACTATAACTTTCACACTGAAAGACCGAAATGCACGAAACTTGGCATGACTCATCCCTGTTGGATGCTCGATGATCCACTGTATTCATATTTTGATGTCATCAAAGCCCTGCCCCCTCGGAACAGGAAGTCTCTTTTTTAACTTGGAATGCTCCCTCTTTGACACCATTGACCTAATCAGGATGATCCTGTGTTATAAGACAGATAATATAGTCTGACTTGATTTAAATTGCAAACCGTTTTGGCTTGAGGATGTTGGCGTGACAGCGTGGCAAATTAAGAAGTGACGTCGTTGCAATACGTTTAGCTCTAAATTGCACATATTTCAGCCGAGGTGCACCAAAATCACTTTGATCAATCATTATCCGCCCCTTGAACTGGTATTCATGATAAGTGGCCAATAGCCTTCACAGCGCCACCTACATTATTCCTACAGTTACAGCTCAGTGATACGTCATCTGATCAGCCACAGATTTATTGTGCATCATCACAGAGGACTTTTATACACATTGATATCGTGGTTTAACATATGACTCTAGTGCGCCCCCTAGATTATTCCAACAGTTATATCTCAATGATACATCATCCTATCCGCAACAGATTTTTGGTGAGTCATTTGTGAGCATTTCTAGACACATTGGTATTGTCGTTTAACATTTGACTCAAGTGGGCCCCATTGGTTATTCAAACTGTTATATCTCAATGATATATTATCCGATCTGCACCAGATTTTGTGTGCGTGATCAGGGAGCACATCTATATTATTTGTGTTGTTATTTAACATTTGACTGGAGTGCGGCCTCTAGATTATTCCAACAGTTATATCTCAGTGATACATAATCTGATCGGAAACAGATTTTTTATGCATAATCAGTGAGCACATCTAGACACATTGATATTGTGGTTTAACATATGACTCAAGTGCACCCCCTAGATTATTTAATCAGTTATATCTCAGTGATATATCTTCCGATCTACACCAGATTTTGGGTACGTAATTAGTGAGCACTTCTACACACACAGGTATTGTTGGTTAATGTTTGTCTCCAGTGCACCCCTAGATTATTCCAACAGTTCTATCTCAACAAAATATCATATATAATATATACATAATATGTACCAGATTTTATGTGCGTGATCAGTGAGCACTTATAGACACATTGATATTGTTCTTTAACATTGGACTCAAGTGCACCCCCTATGTTATTCCAACAGTTTTAGCTCAGTGATACATCATCCAATCTGAACCAGAATTTTTGTGCATAATCAGTGACCACGTCTAGACACGTTGATATTGTGGTTTAACATATGACTCGAGTGCGGACCCTAGATTATTCCAAGAGTTATAACTCAGTGAAATATCATCCGATCTAGGCCAGATTTTTTTGGTACGTCATTAGTGAGCTCTTCTACACACACTGGTATTGTTGTTTAAGTTTTGAATCCAGTGAACCCCCTAGATTATTCCAAGAGTTATATCTCAGTGAAATATCATCCGATCTAGGCCAGATTTTTTTGGTACGTCATTAGTGAGCTCTTCTAAACACACCGGTATTGTTGTTTAATTTTTGAATCCAGTACACCCCCTAGATTATTCAAAAAGTTATATCTCAGTGAAATATCATCTAATATGTACCAGATTTTATGAGCGTGATCAGTGAGCACTTATAGACACATTAATATTGTTATTTAACATTAGACTAAACACATTGGTATTGTTGAGTCATGACATCACTTAAGCCCCACTTACTCAGAGAAAAAAACTTGATTATTGGGTGACACTTCCAACTTTGCACTTTGTAAGATATTAGACTGAAACTTTGTTCGCTAACTGTTGATTATTACACATGACATGTTGAAAAGCATAAAGGAAGTGCTTGTCAAACATTTGCCACAAAACAGGAAGTCACCATAACTCCTGTCTGGAAGGTCAGATTTCGCCTATCCTTGTAAGACCTGCAGCTGGACAAGTAACGACATGGACGGAAGGCGATGTCGAAGATTTGGGAAATGCACCCCGTGGGAAACGCGTGCGGGATTGGCACGAGAGTGTTTGTGATGGCGACTGGGTGGACTAGCTGGAGGTCCCGCGGTCTCCATAAGGCCGGAGCAGCGATTTGCTGCGAGGACCTCCAATGCTGCTTGCAGCTTTAATTAGTTGATGTTTTTCTTAGTTGATATCTTAGATCTTATTAGTGGTTTTCTTTTACATTTTATTATTGGATTTAACTGGGACCCTGTGCACATAATTTCGTTCCACCACATGCATCACGGTGTGAATGACAAATAAAGAACCTTGAATCCGTGAATCCTTGAATATTATTTGGTAGCTGATAGTCATAAACAGCACATCCTCCAAGTTCTAACAGATCTTCCAGTATTGCATAAAACTGCTCAGGCAGGTGATTTGCATTCATTTAAGGACTACAAGAGGCTCAATGTGTTCAGCGGGTCTTCAGTTTGAGAGTTTGTAACCTCTGCTGAACTGTTTCTGTCTTCCAGCTCTCTCCATGGCAACGACATCTCTGAGCTGCAGCAGGGTATCTTCAGCGATGTGGCCTCCCTGTCTCACCTGTAAGCACTCACTGCATGTTATACACGTTTACTGTACATACTACAGCATCAGCAAGGTGCAGTGAACAGGATGATCTGTGTGGTTGTGCAGCCATACACCTTCATATCTCTGCCAAGATAAATTATGTCAGGGAAAGAGTGGTTTCAAGTCAAGTGGACACTCAGAGGATCAATGTAGCTGGAGAAAGATGTAATTTGCCATAGATCTATTGATCTGAGGAGTGTTTGCAGATACAGAATGATTTTCAGTCAAGCATAGCCCATGTGAGTCCATCTGAGGATTAACAGTAGGTGTAGAAACAGACAGTCGAGAAAAAAAAACTAAAGGGGACGTTAAAGATAGATAAAGATGAGCAAGAGAGGAAAACAAAGAAAAGTGAGCAAAGGAGGAAGGGATAGGATGTGAAGAGAAAACATATTTCATGTGTTCATGCAGACACTAGTTGTTTTCATCACCACCAGTTTCTTTAAACACCATCATTTTCATAAGAAAGTCTCTGGTTCTTTTTATGCGCAGTGACAGTGTCATGTAGCTCTAACACTTCCTGTGCAACCTGCAGTCAAAAACTTTACAACATTGCTGCTGTCCTAACATTTTAATGGGAAATCCATGATAACATAATAAATGTACAACATTCTCAAAAACTGTGTAGAAACTTTGAACATTGGAGGTTTTTTAAGATGACAAAATCCATTTTGGAAGTGAATGTTCCGTACTTGCCAGCATACATGTCGCAGCGCTGTATAAGTCGCATCAGTCCAAATATGTCTTCTGCCTACTCCGCTCCTGTTTCCTGGAATATCTTACAAAAAGATCTGAAGCTCTCGACCTTTGACCTCTCTAAGTGTCTTTAAGAATCTGTTGGACTCCTGGCACGGACCAATGCAGACATGTTCCTGTTTTTAGTTTTATACATTCACCTTAGAATCTAGCTGTTTTTGTTACTTTTCATTTTTTAGCCATCCTATTTGCTAAAAAAAAAAAAAAAAAATCTATATGCCTTTTTATAACTGTCTATTGTTGTTGCTGTTGTCCATTGTTGTCATCTTTCTTTGTTGAAATCAGGTCTCTCTTGTAAATGAGTCCTCGAGGCTCAATGGGATTTACCTGTAGAAATAAAGGTTGATTGATTGTCTAATAAAGTGGGAAAAAATATAACTACATGGCTTCACCATATAAGTGGCATATTTTATGTGTCACCGCTGACATGTCACGTTTGTTATCCGTCACGGCTGATCACAAGAAAACGTGGGCCGTTGTTGTGCCAAAAATTGATTGGCTGCCAAATGGTGGCTGCGGTAGCGTGCACGGGAGGACTTTAACAAGAATTTAACCAGATTAACAGTTAAAAACAATTTTTTTAGTCGAAATTATATCAGAGGTGTGTCTGAGTCTAACCTTTCCTTTATAAATGCACTTTGACGGTCAAATCAGCTGCATTTCAAGAGCCGATTCACGGAAGTGGGAGCGCGCAGAGGGACGACTCGTTTCAATTCAATTCAGTTTATTGATATAGCAACAAATCACAACAAAGTTCTCTCAGGGCACTTTACAGAAACATTCACATGCATAAAAAAGCCAATTAGTAAAGTTCTCTATCTAAGGAATCCTGCAGACAAGATGAATCTTGGCTTCGTTGCAGTCTCCCATCCTGAGCAAGCACAGTGGAGACAGTGGAAAGAAAAAAACTCCCTTTAAAAGGAAGAAACCTTCAGCAGAACCAGCTCAGGACAAGCGGCCATCTGCTTTGACCGGCTGGTTTGAGAGGACAGGGAGGAGAGACAAATGAACACAGAATGGTAGGTCCAGATATAGGTCCAAGTCCAGATATAGGTCCAGGTCCAGATATAGGTCCAGGTCCAGATACAGGTCCAGTTCCAGGTGTGTCTGAAAGACAAAACCACATGTTAAGGATAGAAAAAATAATTACAAATTCAAAACAGGTTGAGCAGAGTAAGTAAAGTCAGTAGTAGAGTGAAAAGTGTGGTCAGTTTGTCCTCCAGCAGTCTAAGTCTATAGCAGCAGAACTAAGGGACAGCTCAGGAAACCCAAGCCGACCCTAACTATAGGATTTATCAAAAAGGAAAGTCTTAAGTCCAGTTTTAAAACTGGACAACGTGTCAGCCTCACGGACAGAGACTGGAAATTGGTTCCACAAGAGAGGAGCCTGATAACTGAAAGATCTGCCTCCCATTCTGTTTTTGTAAACTCTAGGAACCACAAGTAAACCTGCAGTCTGAGAGTGAAGTGCTCTTTTAGGAAAATATGGAACAATAAGATCTGTAATATAAGATCAATCAATAAACCTTTATTTAGATGGTAAATCCCATTGAGCCTCGAGGACTCATTTACAAGAGAGACCTGATTTCAACAGATGACAACAATGGACAACAGCAACAACAATAAACAGTTACAAAAAGTCATACTGCAGGGTTTTTTTTTTGTTTTTTTTTTTTTAACAAATAGGATGGCTAAAAGGAAAAGGTAACAAAACAAAAAACAGCTAGATTCCAAGACAAATGTAGAAAACTAAAAACAGGAACATGTCTGCATTGGTCCCTGCCAGGTGTCCAACAGGTTCTTAAAGACACTTAGAGAGGTCAAGGTCGAGAGCTTCAAATCTTTTTGTAAGATATTCCAGGAAACAGGAGCGGAGTAGGAGAAGGCCCTTTTGCCTAGTTCAGTCCTCACTGAGGGAACACTGCAGGTAATAATGTCCTGAGAGCGCACGCTGTAGCTGCACTCACACAGAGACATGTAGGAGGAGATGTATGAAGGCAGCAGACCAAGAAGTGATTTAAAGATGAAAATGTACCAGTGTGAGAGTCTGTGTGAAGTTAATGGTGACCAGTTAACCAGTGAATACTGGGTGCAGTGGTGGGTACGATAATCACAGCCAGTTCTGAATCTTAGTGCACCATGATAGACAGCATCCAACATCTGCAGCATCCAACATCTGCAGCATCCAACATCTGCAGGGTTCTTGTAGGAGCGTTCATGTAAATAATGTCACCATAATCAATTGAGGGAAGGAAAGTCACAGATACAAGGCGTTTTCTAGCATTCAGGGTTAGACAGGATCTGTTTCTGAAAAAGAAACCCAGTTTAACTTTCAGTTTCTTTATCAAGTTTTCCACATGGAGCTTAAAAGAGAGATGTGAGTCGACCAAGATACCCAAATATTTATAGGAATCAACAAACTCAATGGGGACACCGTTTGAGGATAAAATCGGAGGAAGAACTGCTGGGACCAACTTCCTATTTGAAAAAAGCATCCCTTTGGTTTTGTCGGCATTTAGGACAAGTTTGAGGCGAAACAAATCAGTCTGGATGATGTTGAATGCAGATTTCAAAAGCTGGAAAGCCTTAGCAACAGTTTTAGCTCGACAATAAACAACTGTGTCATCAGCATAGAAATGTATGGATGCATCAGGGATGTTTTTACCTACATTATGTATGTAGATTGTAAAGAGGGTGGGTCCTAAGACTGAGCCTTGTGGTACACCATTGTTGACTGTTAAATAACTGGAGGAAGTACCATTATGTTGAACCCATTGCCTCCGGTCTGAAAGATAGTTAGAGAACCAACCAATGCTGTGTTCTGAGAAACCGATTTCTGAGAGTTTATGACACAAGATGTTCTGATCCACAGTGTCAGAATCTTTAGACAGGTCTAAGAAAAGTGCAGCACAATAATCCTTAGCATCCAGTGCTTCAACAACGTCATTAAGAACCTTCAGTGAAGCAGTGGTTGTGCTGTGTTGTTTCCTGAAACCAGATTGATGTGGAGGTAAGATGTTAAATGAGTCCAGGTAATTTTTGATTTGAGAGTTTATCAGTTTTTCTAGAACCTTGGCTAAAATGCAGATGGAGATGAAGATGGAGCTAGGTTGTTGAGAGCTTCGTAGGTTAGAAGTAAGATTTTGAATTTTATTCTGGATTTGACAGGGAGCCAATGGAGAGAAACTAAAACTGGAGAGATATGATCTCTCCCAGTAACTCCAGTTAAGACTCTGGCAGCAGCATTTTGGATCAACTGAAGACGTTTTAAAGAAGTATTTGGACACCC